ACACACCCACACACACACACACACAATTTCGACAACCTATTATATGAGCACTAAACTACAGTTCTACTACGTTCCTTGAAGGTCCCGGTCCCCCACAACCTAACTTTAGCCTGTAGCTCATATGGTAGGTTCTCAAAATAAGGGAACCCCAATTTAGACCCCAAAATAAATAATAAGGTACCCCTGATTTTGGGAGTCCCTTATATGGGTTTCCAGGAAGGTCGGTTTTTGTTGGGCTTAGAGAGGTTAGGGCTTTGGAGACTGTAGTCTATATACTTGCGATGCCTGGTGACCGGTGAAGGATTCCTGAGTTTGCGACGTGCTTTACATGAGCTACAGTCAATATTTCCAACATAAAAGGTTTAGGGCTTAGGGTAATTAAATGGACATGGGTTCTTTATGAGAGACTTTATTAGGGACTATACTCAACTACAAGAGCGGCCCCTAGAGATCCTTTAATAAGATTGAGATTGAAAGTACCTCACATGACAGTGTAACGAAACATGCGCAGACTTGCCAAATCCATCATCCTCATCACACAAACACTGAACACTCCCGGTATCTTCCTCTAAACAGAGACCCCATCTAAAGATGATGCCGGCCCACATAACATAGACTGCTACAGAATCATCCATACACCAGAGGAACCCTGGAAATTAGGGAGCCCTGCAGAACCCTGAATAACTTGGCAGCTCTTCCTCTGTAGCCAGTTCACAAGTACACCCTGATTTACCCCTGTACCATGGTAACTGCCTGAGTAGCCCCAAAAGCAAAACCCCAAACCCTACCCCCAACTTTGATTGCTTCAAGACCTCCGTCCCACCCGTCTAAGGACTTTAGGGGATATAGGGGTTATATAATGACTATATTATAGTCATTATATAACCCCTATATCCCCTAAGGGTTATATATGCTAACGGGATTAAGGGTCCCTAAACGCTAAACCCTAAACCCTAAACCCATCCCTATAAGGGGTCCCTCCTATTGTCCCTAGACCCGTCCTCTTCGCGACCAAGCGCTGCGCATAGCAGGAGGTGATGCGGGAAATGGGCTCGCGGAAGTTCGTCACGCAAGAGACGTGCTTGCCAGACCTCTCTTTCATCTCATATGCGGGGGCTTCGAGGAAGGATCCTCCTTTAGGGTAGCTTTGACCTTAAAAGGCAGGAAGGTCCCCAAATCACAGTTCTATCCACAACTCTGGATCCCAAACACTCTGCTGCAAAGTGTGTAGGTATATTACGAAACAAACATGTCTGGACCCTATGAACCCTACACTCTAAACCCTAAACCCTGAATTCTAGACCCTGGCCCCTAAACTTCATGATAGCGGCAGGGAGGTCATCATCTCCCTCCAGCAGAACTCACCGCCATACACGGCCGCATCCGAGACGTTGTTCTTGAATGCCCGGCAGTTGACTCCTCTCGCTTTAGAGTTTAGGGTTTGAATGCCCGGCAGTTGACTCCTCTCAGCCCAAGTTCGAGCAGATTACCACACAGTTTAGCGTTTGGGGTTTGAGAACCTTTGAATACCTGGCAGTTGACTCCTCAAAGCGCAACTTCGAATAATTTCCCAACCTGTATAGCTCCTTTTGTGCCATTTAGCCATGGACACCACCATTGTTGTCATTCCCTTCGAGGGTCGTATGATAAATTACTGGGTGATACTTTAAAGGCCTCCCGAAATTATTCAGAAATATGTCCAATTATACAACAACACGGGAATTATGACGTCTCCCGAAGTGCATGCTGCACGATAAATCTGTATTCCTTATCATACGCTTGCTGGCGATCATCTCGAGAAGAAAATCTCAAATCTAAACCTATAGTCCCCCTTAAGTAGTTAGAATATGGCTTTGGGTATATCACAATAAGATCCCCATATACCCCATATTCTATCTACTTAAGGGGGACTATAACTTAGGGGCGACATCTCCAGAGGCTTCACAGCATGGGGAGGATGAGAGTCTCAGGGATGAGGTTTCATGGCT